AGAGAAGCCAACAATCTCCTTAAAACAAATCACAACAATATCTACTGATGACAATCGTGAGCAAACAATCTTAACCAAGAAAAAAAAGAAAGCGCACGCGTTCCCTTCCGCCGCCGCGCCCTCACCCAGGTTGGCGTAGACGGAGTCCCTGGCGAGCTTCGGGGGCTCAGGCCTGGGGGGTCCTCCTCCCCCTGCTCCTCCTCCTCCTCCTCCTCCTCCTTCTGTCTTTCCTCCTCCTCCTCCTCCTCCTCCTTCTGCTCTTCCCTCTCCTCTTCCTGCCTTCGACGAGCTACCTGCGCTGCTCGGGGTCCGCGTGGGCGGCGGTGGGCGCTGGGGCCGGAGGTGGGCGTGAGCGGGGGCGTCGTCGGCGAAGGGGGGCGTGGCCTCGGCGCCCTGGCTCGACTCCAGCGACACCTTGCGGGGGGGAGGGGGCGGCTTGGGCCGACCTGGGGAAGAGGGAGAGGGAGTGAATAAGGAGCAATAAAGGACAAGGGAGACAATGCAAGCAACTGGACGGGCGGCGCCTCACCTTCCGAGTTGAATCCGAGGTGGCCGGGCGGCGCGGCGCCGGCGGGGCTGCTCTCGCTCGCGAAGGACTCCCGCCGCTCCAGCGCCGGCTCCTGCGGGCACGGGAGGGTCAGGGGTCAGAGTTCAGGGGGCGGGATTACAGAGCAGGGGGCAGGGTGCTGAACGGGGGAGGGCGGTAATTTCACATATATATATACATATATAAATATATCACAAACATGAACTGGAAAGCGAAGTGGAGAAATCGGATAATCTTGAAGAAGAGAAATAGAGCCACCAATAAACGACAGAAGAAAGAGGAAGAAGAGAAGGAGGAGGAGGAATAAGAAAAGGAGGAGGAGGAGGAGGAGGAGGAGAGGAGAAAACGAACTGAAAAGAAGCAAACAAAGAGGCAAAACGAAGTAAGGAAGACGAGGCGAGGAGAGAAGAGAAGAGGAAGAGAAGAGAGAGAAGAGGAAAAGAGAAAGAGAAAAAGAGAATAGAAAGAGAAGAGGTGAAGAGAAAAAGAAGAGGAAGAGGAGAAGAGAGGAGCGCAGCCAAACAGCGTCATCCAGAGCGAAGGAGGGAGGCAGGAGAGGCGGGAAAAGCGCGGGCGGAGCGCGGGCGGCACTGACCCTCCTGAGGAAGGAGCTCTTCTTCTCGAGCGCCGCGCCCGCGGGCGGCGCGCAGGGCACGCTGGCGTAGATCTCGACGCCGCCCGAGGGCAGGGGGGGCGGCTCCGGGGGGGCCTGCGGGGGGAGGGGGGCGTCAGTAAAGAATAATAATAATCTAATAAAGGAAGGAAGAAGAAATACACGAGAGGATAAATACGAAATGCAGAAATAAAAATAGAAGAAAAAAAAATCAAAATAAACAACGAATGGATGGATGGACAGAAATGGACAAAAAAAAAAAACGATCAATAAAGAAAAAGACGATTATCACTTTCTAAAAAAAAAAAAAAAAAAAAAAAAAAAAAAAAAAAAAGACGAGAAGAGGAAGGAGAAGAGAGAGAAGAGGAAAAGAGGAAAGAGAAAAAGAGAATAGAAAGAGAAGAGGTGAAGAGAAAAAGAAGAGGAAGAGGAGAAGAGGAGGAGCGCAGCCAAACAGCGTCATCCAGAGCGAAGGAGGGAGGCAGGAGAGGCGGGGAAAAGCGCGGGCGGAGCGCGGGCGGCACTGACCCTCCTGAGGAAGGAGCTCTTCTTCTCGAGCGCCGCGCCCGCGGGCGGCGCGCAGGGCACGCTGGCGTAGATCTCGACGCCGCCCGAGGGCAGGGGGGGCGGCTCCGGGGGGGCCTGCGGGGGGAGGGGGGCGTCAGTAAAGAATAATAATAATCTAATAAAGGAAGGAAGAAGAAATACACGAGAGGATAAATACGAAATGCAGAAATAAAAATAGAAGAAAAAAAAAATCAAAATAAACAACGAATGGATGGATGGACAGAAATGGACAAAAAAAAAAACGATCAATAAAGAAAAGACGATTATCACTTTCTAAAAAAAAAAAAAAAAAAAAAAAAAAAAAAAAAAAAAAAAATGCGTAAATGGAATTAATTACAGAGACAATTGATTTTTTGATCAACTAAGAGAAAAAAAAAATAATGGAAAAAAAACATGTTTATGAAAAAATAACAAATGACTAACAATAAAAAAATGAAAATAAAATAAATGAAGAAGAGGAAGAAGAAAAAAAGGAGGAGAAGAAAAGAAGGAGAAACATGAAAGAAGAAGAAGAGAAGAAGAAGAAGAAGAAGAAAAACGGAAAGAAGGAGAAACAAGAAAGAAGAAGAGAAGAAGTAGAAAAAAGAACGAAAAAGAAGAAAAGAGGAAATGGAAAGAAAAACAAAAACAAAAATGATAATCAGGAGAACAGAAAGAGAGAAAGAAAAATGAAAGACAAAGAAAAAGAAGGAATGGGAAAGTAAAAAGAAGAGGAAGAAGAAAGATAAAAACAGAGAAGAACAAGAAGAAAAAGAAGAAAAAGAAGAAGAGGAAGAGGAAGAAGGAAAGGAAGAAGAAAAAGAAGAAGTAGAAGAAGAAGAAGAAGAAGGAGAAGTAGAAGAAAGAGAAGAAGAAGAGGAAGAAGAAGAAAAATAAGAAAAAAATAATAAGAAGAAAAAGAAGAAGAAGAAGAAGAAGAAGGAGAGGAAGAAGAAGAGGAAGAAAAAGAAGAACAGGGATAAGAAGAAGAAGAAGAAGAAGAAGAAGAAGAAGAGGAAGGAGAGGAGGAGGAGGAAGAAGAAGAAGAAGAAGAAGAAAAAGAAGAAGAAGAAGAAGAAGAAGAAGAAGAAGAAGAAGAAGAAGAAGAAGAAGAAGAAGAAGAAGAAGAAGAAGAAGAAGAAGAAAAAGAAGAAGAAGAAGAAGAAGAAGAAGAAGAAGAAAAAGAAGAAGAAAAAGAAGAAGAAGAAGAAGAAGAAGAAGAAGAAGAAGAAGAAGGAGAGGAGGAAGAAGAAGAACAGGGATAACAAGAAGAAAAGGAAGGAGAGGAGGAAGACGAGGAAGAAGAAAAAGAGGAAGAAGAAGAATTAGAGTGAATTAAAAGGTCAATCGGTTCGCGTGAATGAACTCGATCAAAATAAACTGAATTGAAGGCGAAGGAATGGTTTCGGGCGGAAGGGGTTGCCACACGCCGCCACCAGGCAGCGCCCACTCGTCTCTGTTGCTTTATTATTATTATTATTATTATTATTATTATTATTATTATTATTATCATTATCATCATTTATTATTATTATTAACATTATTTATTTATTTACTTATTTAGTTTTGGTTTGTTTTGTTTTTCATGCTTCTTTTTTTTCCTTTTTTCTTTTGCTTTATCTATTTTTATCTCTGTTTATCTCCTCCTGTGTTTATCTCTTTACGCTATTTTTATCTCTGTTTATCTCCTCCTGTGTTTATCTCTTTCCATTGTTTGAATTAATTTATTCGTCTCTTTTTTTGTGAATGATTTTATTTTTGCAGTTCCAGAAAGGCTTGATTTTTACTCCTCTACGAAAGTCTCCTAAAAGACAAACTAGGAATTCTTGACAACTTGACAATGACAACATGACAGTAACTTGGGTGGTTGTTTTAGTAATTACTTCTGCCAATTTGCTTCCTACGACTGACTGACTGACTGAATGACTGGCTGACTGATTGAATGGTTTATGGCTGACTTGGTGAATTACTGGCAGGCTGACTGACTTATTGACTGCCCGTATAACTGACTAGTCGACTGAAGGGATGTCAGATACCAGGACCAGCTTAGTGACTGACAGACTGACTGACTGACTGACTGAATGACTGACAGACAGACAGACTGAATTGACTGACTGACAGACTGACTGACTGACTGACAGACAGACTGACAGACTGACTGATAGACTGACCTGCAGGAGCGCGGCGGGGGAGGCGTAGAGCTCCTCCTGCGCCGAGCCCTTGCCGGCGGCGCCCTTCGGCTGCATCCCCTGGGGCGGGGGCACGTACCCGTAGATGCCCGTGTAGTCGTAGATGGGCGTCGTCTTCTCAGGGCGCGCTATGACCTGGGGGGGAGGGGGGGCGGTTTAGTATTGTAGGAATATTGTATTTTGTGAGGTTCAAGGGAGGGGGGGTAGGATAGAGTTGGGTGGGGAGGGGGGGGGGAAGGGTACTGTATTATGTTGTAAGATGAGAGAGAGGGAGAGGGGGGGGGGGCGATTCAGGGTGGGGGGGGGGGGTGCTGTAGGATGTTGACCCAGGCAAGCGCCCACTCTCTCTGTTGCTTATTATTATTATTATATTATTATTATTATTATTATTATTATTATTATTATTATTATTATTATTATTATTATTATTATTATTATTATTATTATTATTATTATTATTATTATTATTATTATTATTATTATTATTATTATTATTATTATTATTATTATTATTATTATTATTATTATTATTATTATTATTATTATTATTATTATTATTATTATTATTATTATTATTATTATTATTATTATTATTATTATTATTATTATTATTATTATTATTATTATTATTATTATTATTATTATTATTATTATTATTATTATTATTATTATTATTATTATTATTATTATTATTATTATTATTATTATTATTATTATTATTATTATTATTATTATTATTATTATTATTATTATTATTATTATTATTATTATTATTATTATTATTATTATTATTATTATTATTATTATTATTATTATTATTATTATTATTATTATTATTATTATTATTATTATTATTATTATTATTATTATTATTATTATTATTATTATTATTATTATTATTATTATTATTATTATTATTATTATTATTATTATTATTATTATTATTATTATTATTATTATTATTATTATTATTATTATTATTATTATTATTATTATTATTATTATTATTATTATTATTATTATTATTATTATTATTATTATTATTATTATTATTATTATTATTATTATTATTATTATTATTATTATTATTATTATTATTATTATTATTATTATTATTATTATTATTATTATTATTATTATTATTATTATTATTATTATTATTATTATTATTATTATTATTATTATTATTATTATTATTATTATTATTATTATTATTATTATTATTATTATTATTATTATTATTATTATTATTATTATTATTATTATTATTATTATTATTATTATTATTATTATTATTATTATTATTATTATTATTATTATTATTATTATTATTATTATTATTATTATTATTATTATTATTATTATTATTATTATTATTATTATTATTATTATTATTATTATTATTATTATTATTATTATTATTATTATTATTATTATTATTATTATTATTATTATTATTATTATTATTATTATTATTATTATTATTATTATTATTATTATTATTATTATTATTATTATTATTATTATTATTATTATTATTATTATTATTATTATTATTATTATTATTATTATTATTATTATTATTATTATTATTATTATTATTATTATTATTATTATTATTATTATTATTATTATTATTATTATTATTATTATTATTATTATTATTATTATTATTATTATTATTATTATTATTATTATTATTATTATTATTATTATTATTATTATTATTATTATTATTATTATTATTATTATTATTATTATTATTATTATTATTATTATTATTATTATTATTATTATTATTATTATTATTATTATTATTATTATTATTATTATTATTATTATTATTATTATTATTATTATTATTATTATTATTATTATTATTATTATTATTATTATTATTATTATTATTATTATTATTATTATTATTATTATTATTATTATTATTATTATTATTATTATTATTATTATTATTATTATTATTATTATTATTATTATTATTATTATTATTATTATTATTATTATTATTATTATTATTATTATTATTATTATTATTATTATTATTATTATTATTATTATTATTATTATTATTATTATTATTATTATTATTATTATTATTATTATTATTATTATTATTATTATTATTATTATTATTATTATTATTATTATTATTATTATTATTATTATTATTATTATTATTATTATTATTATTATTATTATTATTATTATTATTATTATCATTATTTATGAGAGCGAGGGAGAGGGGGGGGGCGATTCAGTATTGTATGAATATTGTATTTTGTGGGGATCTAGGAGTTGGATGGGGAGGGGGGGGGGGGGGGTGCTGTAGGATGTTGTAAGATGAGAAAGAGAGAGAGAAAGGGGGGGGGGTGATGTAGTACTGTAGGAATGTTGTATTGCAGATGCAATTAGGGACTTGATGACCAATACGCAATGAACAACAACAACTAAATACAGAAGATAATAATATTAACAAAGATACTAGAAAACAATATATCCATCCTGTTGCATTATTCCGAGCACTATATTTGTAAACTGCAAATGTTTAATGCATCGTATTATATTACAGACAGATTAGCCAACGGACACCCGGGTTTGTCTTCATGCAAGCGACGCAACATCGTCGATTGATAGATGCAGACGAACACCTGTTTATGGAGACGAGACGTTTCCTTTCCCGTCTCTCTCTCTTTCTTTCTTTTTCTCACTTTCTCTTTCTTTTTTCCTTCTTTCATTCTTTTCCCTTCTCTCTCTCTTTCTTTTTCTCTCTCTTTCTCTTTCTTTCTCTCACTTTCTCTTTCTTTCTTTTTCCTCTTTCATTCTTTTCCCCTCTCTCTTTCTCTCTCTCTCTCTTTCTCTCTCTCTCTCTCTCTCTCTCTCTCTCTCGCTCTCTCTTTCTCTTTCTTTCTTTCTTCCCTCTCTTTCTCTGTCTCCGTCTGTTTCTCTGTCTATTTTATTGTTTGTCTCGGTCTGTTTGTCTCCGTTTCTTTTTCACTGTCTGTCTGTCTCTCTCTCTCTCTCTCTCTCTCTCTCTCTCTCTCTCTCTCTCTCTCTCTCTCTCTCTCATTCTCTCTCTCTCTCTCACTCTCTCTCTCTCTCATTCTCTCTCTCTCTCATTCTCTCTCTCTCTCTCTCTCTCTCTCTCTCTCTCTCTCTCTCTCTCTCTCTCTCTCTCTCTCTCTCTCGCTCTCTCTCTCTCACTCTCATTCTCTCTCTCTCTCACTCTCATTCTCTCTCCCTCTCTCTCTCTCTCTCTCTCTCACTCTCATTCTCTCTCTCTCTCTCTCTCTCTCTCTCTCTCTCTCTCTCTCTCTCTCTCTCTCTCTCTCTCTCTTTCTTCCAATCTGACTGTCTCTTCCCATCTCTCCTTCCCTCCCTCCCTCCCTCCCCCTCCCCCCTCCCCGCTCACCTGCACTCCGTCCTGGTGGTAGTCGAGCGGATGGATGATCTGTAGACGCGACTTCCTGGCCTCCCTCAGGAGCTCCCTTCTCTCCTGCTCCCTGGCCGCCGCCGCCGCCGCCTTCCTCTTCTCCTCCTCCTTGGACGTCGAGGAGGAGGAGGAGGAGGACGAGCCCAGCCGCAGGAGCTTCTTGAGGGAGAAGCGTGAGGAGGAGCCTCTTCCCCCTCCTCCTCCTCCTGCTCCCGCGTCGCCGCCCTTCTTCGTCCTGTCCCGCCCTCGCGCCTCGCCCTCGCCGCCCCGCTTGGCCGTGGGCGGGGACGACGGCCGGAAGAAGCCTGGGCGGGGAGTGGGCGGGGAAGAGAGGCCAGAGGTGAGCGGAGGAAATGGAGACGATGAGGAGGAAATAAGGAAGATGGTTATTGCGGCGGTTGATCAGGCTCTCCCTCCGCCTCGAGGTGTTTCAAGGGAAAGGAGGGACGAGCGACAAAGATTTACGTCGATCTATCTCTCTGTCTGTGCATCCATCTATTTATACAATTGTCTATTTATCTATCTGTTTGTTTCTCTATCTAACAGTCTATCTATTTGTCTCTATCTCTATGTATTTATCTATCTAAATAGATAGCGAGCTATCTATATCTACATAATACATGTCTATCTATCTATCTGTCTATCTATCTATTTATTTCTCTATTCATCTATTTATCTATCTATCTATTTATCTATTCATCTATTTATTGATTTATCTATCCATCTAGCTAACTAGCTCTCTACTTACCTACCTACATATCCATCCATCTATTTATTTTTCTTATCTTTTTATTCTGGCAAAAGACCTGAAGTAAGAGTTTATGTTTCCCCGTGACGTCACAGTCGTGCAGTCACACAGCGACCCCTGACGTCACTTCCCGAACACCTTCCATCAAGTGACCTATGACGTCACCCCCCTCCCCTCCCCCCGCCGGCGCCTCACCTGATCTGCCGAAGCTGAACCTGGACGAGGAGGACGCCGTCGAGGCCGAGCTCTGTGGCACGAGCACGGCGGCCGTTGCGGCGGCCACGGAGGCGTCGAGGCTGACCGCATGGGCGCTCGCTCGCGGCACCGAGTGCGACCTGGACGCCGCGGGCCTCGAGGCCGTTCCGCACGCGGCCGCCTCGGGGTTGGGCGCCGTCGCCACCGCCGCGCCCGCCCACGCCGCGACCTCCGCACCTGGAAGGGACGCCCGTTAGCACGCGTGTTTCCTGCTCATTTGCTCCGTCTACTGAGTCTGGCTTACGTCATAATTACCATCTGTGCTTTGATTCAACTCTTAATGCCAGTCTGCTTACAAAATGATAATATCAATGATAAAATAAAAAAGATAATAACTACAAGAGAGCACTTGCCTTCGGCGCCGCTCGCCCCGACGGGCCCGATGGAGTTCCTGTAGAAAGGCACCGCCGAAGACGACCGCTCGGCCTTCCTGAGGGGCGGCGGCTCCTCGTCGTCGTCGTCGTCGTCGTCAAAGTCGTCCGTGAAGGACGAGTAGGACTCTCCGTCGCGGTTGTCGCTGGGGACTTGGAGGGCGTGGCCGTATCCGTGGCTCTCGCGCTGCTCCTCCTCCTCCTTCCCCTCGTGCCTTTGTCGCTCGTCCTCCTTCTCTTCCTCGCGGCCCGCCTCCTCCTCCTCCTCGGCTCCGCCCGCCTCGCCCTCGGCGGGCGGGCGCGGCGCGGGCCGCTTGCTGGAGCTGGACCTCGTGGCCTTCGTGCCGAAGTCGAGGGCGGCGGAGAGCAGGCTGCGGTTGGCCTCGAAGGTGGACCTCGACTGGCACCGCGTGGACTCGTGGCGGTCCACAGAGGAGCCGGACGGCGAGGAGGAGGCGCTGGAGGCGGCGGGCGGCCCCGGGGGGGCGTCGCGCGCGCCGCCCGCGGCCTGGAGGCTGTCGTCGATCTCGTGGTAGATGGTCTCGTCGTCGCGCGGGTCGCGGGCGGGCCTCGCGAGGCCGGCGGCGCCCGCGTGTACGGCTACGGGCACGTCGTACACGGCCTCCGCCACGCGTGGGGGCCGCCCCTGCTGCGCGGGCACGGCCGGCGCCTGCGTGGTGGGCGGCGGCCGCTTGGGCGCGGCGGCGTCGGGCCGGGACCCCGCCGACGACGCCTCCGACATGCCCGAGGACGTGGACATAGCGTCGCTACGGTCCTCGACGGCGAGCGACGCGAGGTTGGGCGTGGACACGGCGCCCGATATGGAGCCGACCGAGTGGCGCGGCGCGATGGGCGCGGGCGTCGCGTACACCCGCGGGGAGGAGCTGCCCGACGACCGGTAGGAGACCTTGGGCTTGTCCTTGAGGATGGGCGGCTTGGGCGTGATGACGGGCTTGGCGCCCGGCAGGCCCTTCAGGCAGGAGGTAGAGGCGTAGAGAGCGGACTTCTGGATCCCCGCCGTGGGCGCCGCCGCCTCCTGAGGGGCCTTGATGTCCCTGAGGAAGTCCGGCGTCGCGGGCGTGTAGGCGGGCGAGGGCGGCGCGTAGGGCGCCTCGTACATGGAGCGGGTGGACGCCGCGTGCAGGAAGGACGAGTTCTGCGGGCTGGACGCGACCACGATGGGCGTGCCGAAGGTGGTCAGCAGGCTCGAGTTGCTGCTCTGTCGGCTGGCGGGCGTCTTGGCCAGCTCGGGCGACGGCGTCTTGGCCACGGAGGGCCTGCGGGGTGTCTCGCTCGCCACGGGGATGCTCTCCGCCGCCGGGGGCGCCTCTGCCTCGGCGAGCGGCGCCTCCAGGCGGGGCGTCTGTACCTTGCTGTTCACCGCCTCCTTCAGCTGCGCCTCGGGGCTGGCCTCGACGCTCCGGCGTCGGGTCCCCGCCGAGAGCTTGTGCGCGGCGTCCGGGCTCGTCCTCGAGGCCTCTGCGGCCCTGGGGGTGTCCAGGCTGGTCTTCCTCGCCGCGAGAGGACGCGTCTCCGGAGGGCTGGGCCTCGGGGGGGACTTGGGCTTCTCCGGAGGGGGCTGCCGGGGGGACTCCTTGGGCGAGGTCTGACGAGGGGACTCCCGGGGGGAGACCTGGCGGGGGGACTCCCGGGGGGAGACCTGGCGGGGGGACTCCCGGGGCGAGGCCTCGGGCGCCCTGCGAGGCTCCTCCGTCGTCGAAGTCGCCTCCCCCGGACTGAGCGGCTTCGCCAGGGACGTCCTGGGCGCGGACGTGGGCGGGGCCTTGAGGGGCTCCTTCGCCTCCTTCGCCTCGCAGACGCCTGCAGGGGACGGGTCCTCCACCTGCTGCTTGGGCTCAGCGTTCGCCGAGAGACGCGAGTCTGAGGGCGCGACCGACGAAGCCGGCGGCGTCTCGATGGCGGGCGAGGGAGGGTCGACCTCCTTGGCCTTCTGCGCGTTGCTCTCCGCGTCCGCTGCGTCCGTGCCTCCTGCGAGGATGCTGTCGATATTGGTGACCTTCGTCGGGGCGGCGGCGGGGGCCGCGGGAGCCGCCAGCAGGTCGTCGATGGACGTGACCTTCCCCTTCGTGCTCTTGCTCGTCTTCTGCAGCTCCTCCTCCTCCTCCTCCTGGATGACTGTCTTTTCGACCATCTCCTCCTCGCGGGGCACGTACTTGGGCTTGATGCCCTTGAGAGGCACGTCCTCGTCGTCGGCCACGCCCTCCCCGGCGGGCGCCAGGGCGGGGCGCACCACCTCACCGTTCTTCATGGGCAGCACCTGGTTGACGCGCAGGTCCGCGTTGTTCCTGGCGATGAGCGGCTTCACCGTGACCAGCGGCGGCGACCGCTTCAGCTTGACCTTGCCGCCCTCCGGCCGCGGCTGCTCGTCCTTGGCGGCCCCGCTCTTGAGGTCGGCTTCCAGCTTGGCGCCCTCGCTGCGGCTCCTGTTCTCCCTGCCGAGGCGCTCCAGCTCCTCGATCTCCGCCAGGATCATCTTCCGCTTCTCCTCGAGCTCCTTCACGGACGGCAGGAGCTCCTCGATGTCCTTCTTCAGGTTGTCGTTGTCGGAGTTGAAGTCTGTGTTCTTCTCCGTGAGGCGCCGCAGCACCCGCTCGTCGGGGCTCAGCTGCGCGAAGTCGTCCTCGTCGTCGTCGTCGTCGTCGTCGTCGTCCATGAGGTCGTCCTCGTCGTCGGAGTAGTCGACGTCGCCGCCGTAGCCGATGACCTCCTCGAGCGTCGCGCGGAAGGCGATGGCGCCCCGGCCCGGCCCGCGCTCCCTGGGGGCGCTCGACTTCTTCAGGATGCCCACGGGGGGAGGCGCCCGCTCCTCCTCCGGCTCCTCACCCTCGGCCTCCGCCTCCGCCTCGCGTGGTCCCTCCTCCTCCTCCTCCTCCTCGTCGTCGGCGTGCGTCGTCTCCTCCTTCTCCAGGTCGGAGTGGTGGCTCTCCGCCTCGCTCCTGAGAGAGGCCGTGTCGCTATTGGCCAGCGAGGCCGACGCCTCCGACGAGGCGGAGCTGGAGGGCGCGCTGGACGACCCGTCGTGGCTGGCGTCGGAGCCGAGGTCGCTGCTGGCGTCGCCCTTGTCGTCCGCAGCGCCGCCCTTGGGCTCCGGCGCGCGCCCCTGCCCCAGCAGCTCGCTCAGGAGCCTGGCCTCGCTCTGGCTGCGTACCTGCTGCACGAGGCGCGAGCTGCGCAGGGCGGCGTCGGCGGCGGGCGCGGCCCTGCCCTCGGCGCCGCTCAGCAGCAGGTTCTTCTCGTTCTCGCGGCTCACCAGGCTCGACATGTCCTTGATGAGGCGCGGTGACTTGAGGTTCGAGGCCGACTTGGCGATCACCATCGAGTTCCACGAGTTGCGGCTGTAGTACGAGCGCTGGTACACGCTGCCGGCGACGCCCACGTACCTGCGCGAGCCGCCCACGCCGCCCTCGTCGCCCCCGCCGCGGCTGCCCCTCGAGGACAGCCCCACGCCCTCGTCCTCGCCCAGCCTGTCGTCGGCCAGCCCCTCCACGCCCTTGGGACCTCTCCCCCCGCCTCCTCCTCCTCCTCCTCTACCGCCCCCTCCCCCGTCCCCTCCTCCTCCACCTCCCCCTCCATGCTCGTCCTTGGACTTGAAGCAGTTGGAGCAGAGGTCCTTCCTCCAGGCGTTCTGCACGAAGGTCTGGCAGATCACCGACATGTTGGCCTTCGTCGCGTCGCTCGTCCTTCGAGGTCGACCTCAGGCGTCTCTCACGGAGCTGGGCGCCGCCGGGACCGCCGCCCCATCCTCGGGCGCGGCAGCTGCGG